CTGATTTGCTGTCAAATTTACTAAAGTAATTATATCCTTGTATTTATCTTATTTTTAATAATTTATTTGGTATTGGGTAAATATATGTTTTAGTTTTTGCATTTAAATTTCTATAATCAATAACCATTCTACTTTTTCCTTTTTTTTGTTCACTATGTTTATTTACTATAAATGTTGGGCTTGTATGCTTGCTATTGCTTTCTTGTATGTACCCTTTTTCTAGTAATTCAGTTATATGTTTCTTAAATTCTGTTAAATTATTAAAATTATATTTTAATTATTTTTGGGTTATTATACTAGTATTATCAATTAGCTCAATTTTTATTTTTGTTTTATGTTTTTCCCATTCTTGTAAAGGATCTTCACTATATAATAATTCTAACTTATCTTGGATTATTTTTACTTTATCTATAGAGAATATAATTAATTCTATCTTAGGGTCTTTTTCTTTTATATTTTCTAATTTTTGTGTAATTTTTTCACTTCCTTTTATACATTCTGTTGTTTTTCGTTTTTTGTTATTTACTCTTTTTGCTCCTATTTTTTGTTTACACGGTGTTGTGAACCACCAATGTGTTTTTGTTATTATATGCGGGTATAGTTTTTCTAAAAATAGCATTTCTAATAACATATCTTTTGTAGTCAATTCAAAGTTATATATTTCTTCTATAGTTAATATCTTATCCTATATTTGTATTTTTATATTTTTTGCCTTATATTTGATCATGCTTCCTTCATTATTAAATCTTGTTACTACTATTGGTGTTTTTAATTTTTCCCACTTATCTTCTGGTAAACAATTGTATTTACATATATTAGCTTCTGCTCTCGTATCTATCATTGGTGTATAATATCTGTTGTAATATCCTTCTATTATTATCTTTGTAAGTGTATATATTTTCATATTTTTATCATACTGAAGTCCTTTTTATTACTACTCTTTTATTTTCATAATTTATTATTAATTGTTTATCTTCTAGATTATATGGTTTTACTTGTTTTAGCCATTTTATTCCTAAAGTGATATTTTGATCTCCTTGATATATTTTAAATTTTATTACTATTGTTACGCCTCCAATGATTATTTCCTTTTTTGTAGTTTCTTCGGTATACATTAATGCTTTTAGTAGTTCGGGGCATAATTGTTCAGTAGTTAGTATTTCATCTTCCGTCACTAATTCTCTTGTAATATAATTTTCTTCTGGTCCTGTATTTATTAATATTAAATATTTTCGTTGTTCCATTATTCCCGTTATGTAGTAATGATGTGGTTTTATTTCTTCTTCCATTGATTTTTGTGGGGTTTTATCTACTCTTTTTGAGGTACTCATTTTTGATGATATTTGGGGTATGACATTATTTATTCTTTTTGATGTATTTAGTCTTTCTTTTACTATTTCTAAATCTTCTTCTATATCAATTTTGTTATAACTATAATCATTATTATCTATGACTGTAAATATCCTTTCAAAATGATTTTCTATTTTTTTTTTTTTTTTTTTTTTTTTTCTGTTATTTTATGTTTTGTTGTTAAAACATATAAGTTTTTACATCTAGCTGTAAATATTTTACTTCCCGGGGCTAGTTCTATTCCTGACATTTTTCAATATAATACTAGTGATTTATCTATATTTCTATCATTTATTGCTAATGAGTAGTTAGCACTTATTATGAATTTAAATTTTTGGTATATGAGGCTACCTTTTACTACACTTATAATACTTTTTTCTATAGGTTGTATGATCCTATCATCTGCTAAGTATATTTTTGTGGGTGTATCTATTCCTTCTCTAAAACATGCTTTTATTAGTATTTCTGTTCCTCCTAAATGTACATATTTAATTGGACTTTTAGCCTTAATATCTTGTATTTCTTTATTTATTATCCGTTTGTTTATTATTGGTATTTTAGTCTTTCCTTTGTTGTATTTGCAATCTATGATATGTTCTCCTTGACTTACTACATAATTTTCTTCTTTTTGTCGTTTAAACCAGTTTCTTATTGTTGATATTTCGAATATTTTTTTCTACGCTTAGGTCTAATTCTTTTCCTTTTATTTGTTCAAATATATTATTATCAAATATTATTTTTTGTTCTGCCGATTCTTCATCTTGATATTTCTCTTTAGTTATTATTTGTATATCTGTTTCAGTCATTGATATCGTATTCATTATCTGATTCTATTACTGAATTATTTTCCATTTCATTTTCCGATAATTCATATATACTATCAGTGCTTTCTAATTCATAATCTATGTACTCTATCTGTGTATATTTTCATCGTCTATTATTATTTCTGTTATTTGTTTTTCTTTGGATTTTTAGGTAATTTACAATCTCTAGCTATATGTCCTAATTTTCCACATTTATAACAAGTACATTACGTTAGTTTTCTTTTTGGTCTATATGGTCTTTTGGTTTTGTAGTTTTTACACAGTATCTTCTTCTTGGTTTTTTATATTTAAATTTTGATCTGTGTTTTTTATTATATTTCTTTCTATTTTTATAATACCTATCCGTACAACCAAATTGAGGTGCTGTTTTATTTTTGCAACATGCCAAGTTTTTTACTAATATTTCTTCCATTTTTATTTCTTCTTTATGTTTTTCACATAGTTCTCTAAACCATCGTTGTAAGAATTTTATTCTAGCTCCTAAGGTATCTGTTAATCCTGCTTCATTCCAACTTTTTATTACTTTTGAATTAAAAGGTTCTGGTAATTTTGTAAAATATAATTTTCTTATTTCTTTACTTTCGTCTATGCTATATGTTCCTTTATAATAGTATTCTCTAAATGCACATGTATATTCATCTATAGAACACATGTTACATATTGCTAATTTTGTCATTAGATTTCGGTTTATGATTGTTTCTTTATTTTGTCCTTTACTTCTGTTGTCATACTACTAAATTCGTTTCTTATAGTTATTTCGTATTTATATAATATTTCCATAGTTGTAGTAGCTATTCCACCATCAAATTTTTTGTTACTTCTTAGAGTTTGTAAACTTTCATCTGATAAATTTTGTAGTCATAATTTTACTGTTCCTATAAGTGTTCTTTCTATATATCTTGGTGTTTCTGTTATTACTATTTTGTTATCTATTAATTGTTTTGATATATATCTCATCCATAATTGGATTGTTTTATTTATATCTGCTACACAGTCTAAATCTAAAAAATTATGTTGTTCAGTTATTGGTTTAGGAGTCCATTTTTTATTTAATCTTTTATCCCATATAGTGTTTTCTCTATCATATTGTCCATTGTTTTCATTATAATATTTTGAATTTTAATTTTTTGGGTTTTTTACTCCTGATGAACTAGGTTTTTCATCCATGTCTACGTCTCCTGTATTTACTTCTAAATTCTTTGTATTACCCATGTTTGCTAAAAGTTCTGTATATGTTTCGCTTGTTTCCGAATGTTGTTCATCTAGATCATCATTATTTATTTCATCAATTCTTAATCCAGGTAGATTGTCTTGGTTATTTTCTTTTTTTTCTTCTAATTCATCTTCTAATTGCAATTTTTCTTTAAATTTAATTATCTCAATTGCTAATTTTGTTTTTTGTTCTTTTTCTTTTTATTTTATTTCATACGTTTGTTTTAACATTGCCAGCTCTTTTTCTAGTTCTATTAATTTAGTATTTTTTACTTCTTCTAATTGTTGTACTTCCTATTTTACTTGTTGTTTTATTTTTTCAATTTCCGTTTTTCTATCTATTTCTTCATTTTCTTTTGTTATTCTTATCATAGCAGTTAAACTATCTTCTAGTTTTACTGTTTTTTTTCTAACATTAAACTTATAGTGTCACCTATTTTCTTGTATCTTCTTCCTAGATTAGAAAATATTATCTTTATTTTTAATCTGTCATAGTTTTCGTATATTTTTTCATCTATTGCATATTCTTCTTTATTCATTTATAAATTATGTTGTAGTTTATATTCTAAGTTATTTATTTGTATTTCTAGATATAAGATAGTCTTTCTTTGTGCTATTATAGATTTGTGACAAGTTCCTGCAAATATATTACTGTTAAGTCTGTCTTGCATGTGTCTTAATTCTTGTCTTTTTGCTGTAATTATTTCAGTAAGTTTTTGTCTATATTCGTTATTCTCGTTATTCATTGTATTTTTAAATATTGAATATATTTATATTCTATTTTAGATATATTATCTATTAATTGGTTTAATTTGTCGTTATCGATTTTTGTGATATTGAGTTGTTTATATTCCGGATATAATTTGTTAAATTTTTTTCTTAATTTTCTTCTTAATTTTCTGATCTTTCTACTAGTATATTTCTTACTATGTTTCTTATTATCTTTCTACTAGTATATTTCATCCCTCTCTTTTTCTTTATCGATTTGCTCCTGTGTCAGCCTGAAACACAGAGGGGAGACTTGATCTTCTTTGGTGTACCAAGCTTGATTTACTCTCGCCATACCATCTAAGAGAAATGAAGCCACCTCAAAGGGCTGTAGCATTATACCGCCTTGGACCAATTGATCAGCTATTCCTTTGTTGACTGAATCAAGACTTCGGTAAAAATATTGGAGTAGCAACTCACTTGGCAGCCCATATGTTGGGTATTTCTGCAGAGACCTCTTATATCTAATCCACGACTCATGAATTGGTTCACTCGCTTTTTGTTTGAAATTCTGAATGTCGTCCCTCAACTTCATCATTTTTGATGGGGGAAAGAATCTATTGTGGAAAGCAGTGACTAATTCTTTCCATGATGTGAGAAAACTTTTGGGAAACTCAGACAACGACGTAGTGGCAGCTCCTGTTGGTGACAGTGGGAATAAGCGAAGCCTGATGGCTTCGTGTGACCAATTTTTGAATGACAACGGGGCATATACATCCAGAAAGCTTTGGATATGTTCATGTGAGTCTTCATGATCCAATCCTCCGTATAGGCCCCTTTAATGTATGAGATGGAGTGTTATGCTGGTGACTTCAAAATTTCTGTTTCCATCACTCTGCGGCTAACGAATTGCACCTATCTCACCCAATGGAGTGGGGTCAGAAACACTGTTTTCATCATCAATGTCATCTTGGTGCAAGTCAGTGTTTGATGGTTTGTTTGTTTGGCAACTATCCCCCACGTCCTCACTCATAATTTCTGTTTTCAACTCAAACAAGCAAAGCAAAGCTAAAAATTAAGTCAATAAACCTAAAACTAAGAAAAACAAAAATTCTTGCCCCAATGATCCTTGGGATTATATACACTCACAAACTTAAAGAAAAAACAAAACTGAGAGTAAAGTTAATAATCTATGATTAATAAGACGAAAATTCTAGTGAACTAAATTTTTTCAAATAACACCACTCCCCAGCAAAAGCGCCATTTTGATACTTATCGTGACCAACGACACTAACCTACAATATGAGTGTCTACGATCGTCGATAATATAGTAACCCAACCGAGGGTTGGGGTCGTGTCCCAAGGCTGTAATTTTGAGAATTAATAGCCAATTAGAATTTCATTCGAATTAGTCGTAGCTAAATACATTTGCGATAAAAGACATAGTAAATTAAAGGGGGTGAAACGAAAGTGTCAAATATCAAATGAGATTTTTGTAACAAGTGCTAAAACGGCAAAATAAACAAGAAAATCAAGTATGGGGAAATGTTCTTGGGATGTGACCGCAAACCAAGTTGAGATAAATCGGTGCGTACATTCTTTCAATAGGAAATTTGCAAGATAATAGTGACTAGGCTAAGCTTTAAATGGAAATAAGTTCCCTCTCGGGCCAGTTACCCATTTTCAAATGCGTTCCTCTCGGACACTAATTTACCACATGAAGACCAGCCTACGCCTTACCCAATTCACTCTCTCGAGCTGAGTGTTAGGATATGGGACTAGGGCTCACCCTCTCGGGCTAAACCTCATGTTGACCCACTCCTTAGGCCATCAGTCTAGTGGTTTTGGTTTCGCGACCTCCCTCTTGGGCAAGCCAAAAACACATGGATGACTTTGTATTTGCAATTACAAACCCTTTAAATTAAACCACAACCACTAGGTGAAATCACCATTAACATACATCTAACCTATCATCAAGAAAGACCCAACAAGAATATCAACCCATATTTGCTAAATCAAACCGCAAAAATAGGGGTTTTTAGCCACATATCAAGAAATAAGAAATTATACCTAACATGATAAAGAAATCAACTGGGTATAAGAAATTAAACCTTGAATTAAGAAAAGGGAAGTGAATAGAGAAGACCCACTTTCAACTTGGGGAAGAAGAACTCCTTTCTTCAAGTCTCCAAAAAACCCTCTCCAAACTTGAGAGAAAAAAATATTAGCTAAAGTACATTCTAAAGTGAAAATAATAATAATAATTTTTCCACACTTGAAACTCTCTTAAAACTACAACTCTAAATAGTATTTATAGTTTTCACAGATTGTGCTACGGAGGATTGTTCGGCGACATTAGTCGACATCACCGATGAACTCGGCATCCGCTCTATGGTCAGCTCATCGCCTTTGGTGTCTTTCCTTTAACACCCTTGCATTCTGGATCATTGGGTGGTACAGTACTGCTTCGCGGAACTGATCGGCAACCCACCGACTGCTCCTTTCCTCGCCTTTTGATCCACTTCCTTCAAGGCTTAGCGTATTGGAACAAAGGGCGACTTATATCATTTTGACGACTCGCCAAGTCAAACTTGGCGATCCGCAGGATTCCATTCTTGTTATTTTCAGCCCTATTTGCTCCGTTTTGCGCCTAAGTGTGCATGCTTCCACTAAAACTTCAAATACCTGAAACTTCAGTATTTTAATCAAGTACTGAGGTAAAACAAACATTCAAGGACACTATTTCCATTAAAACAAAGGCCTAAATGTGTCCAGTTTGTGGACTCGTCATCATGCACGGTTTCAGGTAAGCTTATTACACAAAGCGTCGACACTTAAGTCAAACAAGACTCCACACTTTTTCTAGTGCGCAATGGTCATCACAAGAGAATCAATTTGATAAATGGATAATCACAACGAGATGCAAAGAGTTCACATATTGTCTATTCAACATCATTTGGCCTCATCGTAGCCGTACAGTCATGTTCGTTCGATTGTAAGCACTATTCAAATCATCGGTATTGATAGAAATCGAGACTCAAATTTGCCAAGGAATAGCCACATTCAACACATGAGAGGTGGCAAAAATTTTCAGACAGGTCAAAATCATTTTTCAATTAAAACAAAAAAGAGCCATAAGCTCAAACATCCACAAAAATGTATTATTTACCAAATTTTAAACAGAACAACCCAAAATTTATCGACAAAACACGAACACGAGTAGCACACAGAAGTGGGCCTCACCCCACCACAAATAAAAGTGTTTGTCCTCAAATGCAAATGAAAGTATCCAAAAGTAAATATATAGTAAGATAGAGAGGGAGGTAAAGAGGGATCTTATCTACGCAGTCGCTCCATCTGTCGGGGCCTCAGTGCTTGGAGTGACCTCAGAAGGAACATCAGTGCCAACTTCACCAAAGTCTGTTGATTGTGAGTCTGCTAGAAAGACGTGCACCGCTCTGCAAAATCCCCTGGCCCATAGAGGAGTATTCGGGTCTAGGGTGATGGTTTTCCTGGCAGGAGTGGGACTTTTGATCTTGCCTTTCCCAGTAGGTGTGGGTAGTTGTTTTGAAGCTTTTTCTTTTGACGTAACTGCATCTTCCTTTATTGCAATTCCTTTGGACTTCTCTTGAGCTGACGTTACTCATTCAACAACTTTGGGTTTGGTCATATCTGCAAAATCTCGAAGAGGAGTTAGAGAAATATTTGATAAAAGTACTGATAAACTTCTGACTCTTTCGGCGAGTCACCGATATTATTCGGCAATCTAGAGTTAGTCTGCTAAAGCTAGAGTGCACAGAGATTTAGGAGAGTTGACAAGGGTGAAGTGAGACTTTCGACGAGTCATCGAAAGTCTTTGGCGACCTTCAACTTCTCACCGAAAGTTACAAAATTAATATCACATTTATCACTAAATGAATGGTGAGATGGGGACTTTAGGCGAACCGCCAAGTGGTTCAACGAGCTCTCCCAGCTTGCTAAACAGCTCAACGTACTTATTTTTAACCCAACTTCTCAAATTCAACCCCGCAACCCCCGAAAGCAAAATCAAAAGATTCAATAGCCAAATTAAGCTTAGACCCAGTGACACTTATGCATAACCCACAATTTTTAATCCATATTAAGGCATACAATCACTAGAATTCAACAGTCATAATTACTCTAGCAAGATTGTCAAATTAAGGCATGCGTGTAAACAATCTAGTCTTATCCGGCAGGGTCACAATACTTTCAACAAGATCTAATTATTGCAAATGGGCATAAATTTTAATGAAATAAATTCAGGGCACAGAAAACCGACCTTTTGTGCTGACTACGAAATGATTGTAATGCTAGGCGGCAAGGTAATCCAATTCCGAGCACAAATCAACCAAAATACAATAGAGATGCAACAATATGGAAAGTAAAGCTTGGTGTGATTTTGTAAAGTTTGAAAATGAGGGAGAGTGTAGGAAATTGAAACTTTTAAACCTTTGGCTTGAAAAACCGTCCAGTTCTTTCCCACTCAGCGACTTTAGTCATGAACGCCAAACCATTTGGCGTCGCACCGAGTAATCACCTTCCTCACCGAGTTTTATAGAATCCCCCCATTTAATGTATTGATCTAAACGGTGATACAAATCGGGGTCGCCGAGTTGATCGGTGACTCGCTAATCATTTCTTTGGGACCGTTGAGTTTTACAGACTCTAAACCCAAGTTGGGTTGGATCAAACGGCGGTGTGAGTTGGATCTCTTAATACTTTGGCAACTTGCCAACCAACTTTTCCCTCGCCAATCTCTTTCTTCCCAAATGCTTCCCACACTTCTTCTTGCACAATTAACACAACATTATTTTAGCAAAGCAACATAAATCAATAAAGGGTTTTGGTTTGCCTCCCAAATAGCACCTTAGTTAATGTCATGGCACGACGCAACTTAACACCTAAACTTCACTTTTGGGGTTAGCCAAAACATCAATTGGCAACCCCATGCTTTGTGTCGGATGGAGGTGAGGCATCATATGACTCGTAAGGTTCTCGAGCAGCTGAATGGATCTGAAATGTGAACCAATCATCTGTTTCATCAATTTGATGTTCACCTTCACTTCTTCCAGCACCCTATCATGCTCACTTACCTCGTTGAGAATAATTGAGAGCATTCACTCAATACATTTACCCTCATTGTCCTTGGGCTTTCTTCACTCATGAAGGGGGACGTATCTGTCCTTCCTTTTGCATTGGACTTCAATCTCCAATATCTTTTTGGACAATTCATCAATCTGAGTCATTAGTGTGGACAACATGAAGTCCTTCTCTACTTCTTGGTTTACTTCAGTCATGTGATGTGTAATACCACCAGGAATGCTATCGTATAGGGCTGATGTGTAATACAACCATGAATGAGTCGGTCAACCAATGCTTTGTTTCCGGGACCAAGACTTCTCTAGAAGCAGTCCAGGAGGACTATATCAGGAATTTCATGAGTGGGGCATCGAATCATAAGCAATTTAAACCTTTCCCATACATCATGAATCCGTTCACCTTCCAATTGTCTGAAAGTTAGAATACGATCCCTCAACATCATTACTTCTAATGGAGGAAACTCCATTTGCTCACGAGTACTGCTTGACATACGCATCTCCTCTGTTTTAAAGCTCAAACAAGCAAAAATACAAATCTAGAAATTAGGTAAATAAAACTACAACTAAGAAGAAAAAAAATTCTACTAAACTAAGAATTCTCAAATAACACCACTCCCCGGCAGCGGCGCCATTTTGATGTTTGTGTAATCAAGACACAACTTCCGATGCAAGTGTCTACGATCGTACAATAGTTTAGTAATCCAACCAAGGGTTGGGATCGTTCCCAAGAGAGTGGTTTTGAGAATTAATAGAAAAATAAAATTTAGTTCTAACTAGTCGTAGCTAAAGACATTAACGATTAAAAATATTGTAAATTAAAGGGGGACACGAGAATGTCAATTAACAATAGGGTTTTGTCACTAGTGAGTAAAAACATCAAAAATAAACAAGGGTTTCTAAGTAATGATAGGGG